CGTCTGTTATGTTCACGATGCCATTTACATTTTCATTTGAGGAGTATGCAGATATGATTTATGTGTACGGGTTTTGTGACGGTAACTCAGTTCTTGCCGTAGCTGAATATCAGCAACGGTTTCCAAATTGTAGAATACTGAACCAGAGAGTGTTTACTGGAGTTTACCAGGCATTGCGAGATACAGGTAGACTTCCTGGCGTTCATATTGCAGCCGAGCATGGTTGTTAATGAAGGCGTCAATGAAGAAGGAATTGTTCGTATGGTACACCACAGTCCACATACAAGTGCGCGAAGAATTGCAAGACGTCTTCATGTTCCCCACACAAGAGTGTGGAGAACACTGCATGCAGAGGGCATGTATCCATACCACGTGCAGCGAGTGCAACATCTCCAACCTGGTTTTTTTGCTGAGAGGCTGAACTTTTGCAAGTGGCGCAATGGCAGTTGCCAGCTGATAGGTCCTTTCATCTTGGAAGGTCGTCTTACAGGAGAGGCATACCTCAGATTTCTGCAGGAGGAATTGCCCCAACTTTTGGAGGATGTGCCTTTGGATAAACGAAGTCGTAAGTATTTCCAACACTACGGGGCTCCTCCTCATTCTTCACATGGAGTTACAAATTTCCTGAACTATTGTTTCCCTGGGTGATGGATCGGATGTTGCGGTCCCCACCATTGGCCAGCCAGGTCTCCAGACTTAAGCCCACTGGATTATTGTATGTGGGGATAGATGAAAGAACTGGTTTACAATGTGAAGGTGGCAACGCGAGACACTTTGCTCACTTACCTTCTGGACGCCGCTGACCACATAAGAAACAGTCAGCTGAAGCTGCTACGTGCTACCCGCGCAGTTCACAACCGAGCGGCAGCCTGTGTTGCGGCCAGTGGTGGCATTTTCGAAAATCGGCTTTAAGCACCAATAAATTTAAACTAAAGGTAATTTCACGAAGTTAACTTTGCATTCTTACTTTAAATGTATCATATATTATGCTGGTTTATTATTTTGTTCCGTTTATTGTCAGTAATCGTTACCTTCTCTTCTGAGTTTAAAACGGTCATAACTCCATAACCATCCAAAATCGGACACATGTTTATATGAACTTTTTTGATCACAAAGACCTAGGAAATCACCTCCTGCAGTTATGCCCCAAAGTTATGAAACACCCTGTATATACAGGGTGTCCCAGGAGGAATGTGCCAGACTTTGGGANAGGGACGAAGATTACAGAGGGGAATAGATTTTGGAAGTATCCTGAATGCAACACTGGCATAAAGGACAGAGGTCCGAAACGGCGACGACAAGTCAGCAAACAATTGGAGGACCCTGCTAANACAATATAACCCAAAACACATCTGTCCAAAGTTGAACGTTTACAGAGATAATGGCCCGAGAAAAGTGTGGTCTTCTGGCGGATCCACGCACTGTATCTGTCAGCTGAGAAGTCATATCTATGTTTGTCCTTGAGTGTGGTGATTCACACTAGCTGTAAGCTTATATGCTACCTTCAAGATACGTTGCAGCCGTGTTGTGAATGGATGGTAAATTAGTTGTGTGGAGTTGCTGAAATGCCTTTTGTGTTTTCACACGTGGAATATTGTGATATGCATTTTCTGTATGGATTTTGTGGTGGCAGTGCATGTGCTGCTGTTGAAGAATGCCAATGGATTGACGGATTCCATCTCGAAGTGTATTTACGCAAATTCACCAGACATTGCGTGATACTGGTTCTCTTCCGGGTGTTTCTGTGCACTCTGAAAGGGAGGATGTACGAATGAGAAACACACGAGAGAACATTCTTGAGATGGTTCAGAGAAGTCCGTGTCCGTCCACTCGTAGAATGGCCTCTCGCGTTGGCATATCACGTATGCAGGTGTGGCGAACTTTACATGATGAAGAGTTGTATCATTACCATGATCAAAGGGTACAACATCTGGAACCAGGCGACCATGCTCAGCGTATGGATTTCTGCCACTGGATAAAAGCTCATCCCGAACTGTTAAGTGTCATTTTATTCAGTGACGAGGCGTCTTTTACCCTGGACAGTGTAAATAATTTACGAAATGTGCGTACGTGGTCCCATAATAATCCACATGAGATAATGGTAACGAAATTCCAAAAGAGGTTTTCTGTGAATGTATGGTGTGGTGTGCTTGGGAACAGATTGTTCGGACCTTTTGTGTTTCACAAAAATTTAACTGGAAACATGTATGAAGCCTTCCTGAGGAGTAGTGAGTTACCATGTTTGTTGGATGACATTGCAGCTGGCAGAGGACACTGAACAATTAGTATAAAGTGGGTACTGTATTTTAGTAGTTATGTAGTCGGCTTATACTAGAGTGTGCAGCCAGCCATGTTACATCAGAGCTTGCCATGCATGTGTCGTGTATAATGCTTGGAAACCTAAGGACAACTATGACATGTCATGTGAGTTTTTTTGTAGTTCAATTTAATGGCTTCATGTCGCTGACTAGTTAATTTGATGTTACGTACATTATTAACATTACAGAAACCACATATTCCTGCCAGTTTTAATATGTATTTGCTAATCAACAAGTGTGGAACACCTGTCAAAGTTTCACACTTCTCTGGCCATTATCTCCGTAACTGTTCAACTTTGGACGTAGGTGTTTTGGGTTATATCGGCATACTTTAACATAAGGAACACCCTCCCGAAGTCGGGCACATTCCTCCTGGGACACTCTGTATATATATATATATCCAGTCTTTCATCTCATTCAGCATAAATAGCTTATGTGGTTAATATAGTGTTGTTTAACCTGTCAGTGCTGGCAGACATTTAAATTCCTACTCAACTCTTATGCCAGAAGATATTTAAATATTTAAATCGGAGAGTGCAACATTTCACTTAAAGTGTAATAAATCGGGGAAAACTGAAGTTCTGCTTTTCTAATTTTCACACTACATTCAGAAATGTATATAGAATCAGTCTATTAATCCACACTGCTTTAAAATTATTTTTTGGCACAGTAAGCCTATAAAAATTAGGAATGATAGTATCATATTACCTTAGAAGTTCAGCTGGGTGTGTTAGTTGTGAAAACATTCCACACAGAGTCCCATGTCACATGAGTCACACCAGTACACAGTTTTTGACACACAACATGCTGTTTCTGTGGTTTTGATTTCTTCGCAGTTGGTGGAATCTTGCTTATAAAATTTCTTTCTCTTAGATGGGGCACTGTTTTGTCTGATGAATATCGACCTGGCACTTTGTGTTCTACAGCATTATCATATTTCACAGAGAGTTCCTCAATTAACTGAATTCTGATTGACAATTGATCTATTCTTTTCCTTGTGTTATTCCTACATATTATCATCGCATTCAGTAATTTCCTTTTTGCCCCTTACAGTTTTGCATATTCTCCCAATGGATGTTTGTGCTATTCTCAATTCTGTCATTTACCACAGAATCGAGAGAAGCAAAAGCATCCATTTTCAGTGTCTAATTTCGAATCTGATAAAACACTGTTCTGATTTGGTTTGAAGTAAATATATTCTCCACTGGTCATGACACAACACAGCTGGCCACTCATTTCCTTTTGGCTGGCCTTTGCTAACCAGACTGCATGATGTGTATTTATAGAACAAAGGGGGATTACAGTATAGTGAACTGTTTGTCATTTGCTACAGTAGCAGTCATAACACACTTCTTAGAGTCAACATCACGTCTCAAAGTCATAGATTCTCTGCGTGTCTTCTCATAGTTACAAATACCAACGTTGAAGCAGCACAGTTCAGAATATGCCTCAAGAGAATTGACTTTTCATTCAGTCTGGATAGAGGATAGTACACAGTATCGATCTAACATATTTAGTTCATAAGAATTCCCCTAAGCAGAGGTAGGTTTGTATGGTAACAAGTGCACCAAGTGTTGAAATTGAAAACTTTTTCAAAGAATTCAAATGTATTACAACTCCAGCAGGAAGTTCAAAGTGGGACAACAGATATACGAAATGATAGCCCCAAATTTCCTCTTTAATTTTATACCAAAACAATTACTTTACATGAAAAACAACGGTTCAGATTACAAGCTGAAACTTAGAGCTGCAGTGCATGTACAGTACACTGACCCCGGCGGCATGTGACAGAAACTGCTGGGGTGCAGTGCACCGACCCCGAAACTGAAGGATTAATAGCCTGTGAAGCAGTCTAGCTGTTGATGACATAGGATTTGAGGTTTTTGCTGCTGTGAATGTTATGCTGTGGTCATCTTGCTTGTAGCCTTGTAGGTAGGTACCACATATCCCATAACCAGTCTCACTGATGATAATATGTATTTGGTGAAGAGCACAAATACAACACTCTTAAGCACATAATTTTCTTCATTCTGTTGCTGCTATCTTGTATGCATGGATATTCTGTTCAACACACTTCTTCTTCCTTTGGAATGACAGAACAGATTTCTTAGCCATATGTAACAGAAGATAACTTTTTTTTTTAGCTCTCTAAGTAAGAACTGGGAAATTAAAAGATTGTGAACTGGATGGTAGCAAGCATTTCCTGAACTATGGTTATTTAGCCTTCAAATTTAGAAGTTCCTAATGAAGTATTATTATATTTTGTTGTTTGCAGACACCCAGTGTTCAAGATCCATTACTTTATGGCAGTACTGGTATATTTGAAGTCCTTGTCACTGATGTTCCATGGAATTAACTATCACTTCATTCAAACCAAGGGAGAACACATAGCAGCTTGGGCCATCCTGTACTATGTTGCACACCTGTGAGTTACCCTAATTAAAATGTTTACTACTCGCATGTGTCTGCATAAATATGATAGGTGATTAGTTTTGATATATTGGATTTTTGGACTTTATCCATCGTCCTGGTTTTTAAGATAACAAATAAAAACACGACGTTTCGGAAACTGGATCTGTTTCCGTCCTCAGGTGAGGGAAAGCACCTATTCTGTTGGGTCCGTTAGAAAGAGCTAGCCTCAATCACTGTGTGTTGTCAGTGTGTTATACACCATTGTCAGAATCCTGTAGTAACTACGTGATTAGTTTTCCCAGACTCATGGTAATCTTTTTGTAACTAAAGACAGACAATAATAAGGCTTTACTCAATGTTTAGAAAAACTTTACCCTAGTCAAACGTGTATGCTGCGGTCAGTATATTCTACAGATTTTCTCTCAGTTGTATTTTATTGCTCTCCCAAGTACTGCTTAGTTTAATGCAATGAATTGACTATATCTCTCATGCACAGCATAATTTGATGCACTTCATTTCCAAACACCAGTCTAGTTTCAGATGTTTTTCAAACTTGTTCTTTTTTTTACTGTAGTGTTCAGTATTATTTGCTTTAGCTATCAAATTCATTCTGATTTTCCTGTACATTATAACATTGAAGAAAATATGAATGTATCCATGGCCTCCAGTGGAGAGAGACAGAAAAAATAATTTAAATGTATTTTGTATTGAGTACTTTGTGCTATTGTAGTTTGTTCTGTGGATTGATTCTTATGCAAAATTTTGTAATTGCAGGTTGAAAGGTGCAGTGTTATTCATCACTATTGTTCTTGTGGGTACTGGCTGGACTTTTATTAAACATATCTTGTCTGAGAAGGATAAGAAGATATTCATGATAGTTATACCATTGCAGGTTTGTACATATTAGAGATACACAGTTCATAGCTTAGATTTAAATTACATTCCACGCACTAGCATAGAAAATGTGGGATCCTCAATTTCCCAAAACTCTGTGGGCCTCCATGGCCTGTTACAGAGATTGGGTTGCAGCATGCTGTTTGTCAGTTCTCTTTATTCTGAGAAACTTCATATTGGCTGCTTCTCCTGACATTTATTTTCTTAATGCACTTTTTGGGCTTTATGAAGTGGGACAGCTCAGTCAGCAAAATTGCTGGCTATGAGCAGGATAACTAGTATATTATTCCTGGCAAAGGCATACATTTTCTCTTTGCCACAACTGAGCCAAGATAAGCTTCAAGTCCCATCCAGCCTCCATGTGTAGAGTCCCAGGACTCTTGTGGGAGAGTAAAATGTCTGGTGTATAATGCCGACTACTCACCTCCGTTGTGTCTGAGGCTTAGAAGGTGAGGACATCTACCTCTGCTTCGCTTTTTGTCTTTGTGGCATCATGCTTAGGGACAAGGAAAATTATCTTTACATTTTATCGTTTGTGTAAGAAAACTCGGATTTAGTCTTGCAAAAATGTTCGTATTTTATGTGCAGGCACTGTTAAGATGTAATGTTTCAGCTTCAAAAGAAAATTCTAACCCCAGAAAATTATTTTAGCACCATATTATTCTCTTACAATTGCCACTTTGGTGGAGGCACAATTTAGTTTTTAAGAATATTTCATTGAGGATTACAAACAGATTTATAAAGCTTCATGAGGCAGCCAATATTTTATTACATGAGTTTGACAGTGAAATGTCTTATGATACTCTAGGCCTGAAATGGATTAACTGGTCTGTATTTTGGATGCCTCTGCTGAAAAATATTCTTGATTTTTTTATACTTTATGAATTCACTTTGCTTGGCTTAATGGATAAAAATAAGTGAAAGGAGATTATGACCTTTTACCACTGTAAAGAATTCCTCAAGAACTTGATATGTTCTCATTTGAGGTAAGTTTTATACAGTAAGTTTGGAATCCCTAATGAGCCTCGGGGTTATGTTCCCAAATGGAACCGACACTGACTTTACAAAAGCCTAAATGAAAACTCGAGGTTTGAGAAGTCACAGCTCATTGAAGCTGTATTAAGTTGATGTTCCTTCATTAAACACAAAAAAAATCAGATAATATTAAATAGAAGTATGACCATAAAAATGTCACAAAAGATGCACCGCAGTAGTAATCAGGAATCAATGAAATTGGTTTTGAATGTCATTGTGGTCCTTTCATGTCTCTCTCTTGACATGGAAGTTAATGATTTTGCCTAGCATGTACAAATTAAAACTACAAGTATATAAAACCAGCTGTCACAGTTGACAGAACTGGAAATGACTAGAAAACTACGGACACTTGAAATCCACAGTTCGCCATGGTTTATTTTGAGAAGCTAATAGTCAGTCACTTGGTCAAGAAATTCTGGACCTTGTATGAAATCCAAAAGTTTAGTGCTTTGTTCAGAGTGCCTGCTACTGAACCTTATCTTGAGCCAGAAGAACCCAGTCCACACCCTCACACTCCCTTTCTTATTTTCTTAAGATCCATCTTAATATTATCCTCCTGTCTGTCCTTACCTGTTTAAAAATGTTTCAAAGTTTGATTTGTTTCATTCTGGTCCGTCACACTAACAATATTACGAAAGGTTAATTAATTCCGTCCAGTGTGACTGATGGTTTTTTCTTCTTAGTCTTTCATCCTTACATGTTTTGGTATTGTAATGATATCCTTCTGAAGATGGTCCATAGGACCAGAACATGTAAAGGGTAAAAGATTAAAAAGAAAAAAACAATCAGTCACAGTGGACGGAATTAATTAACTTTTTGTAATGTTTCCAAATTTGAATTGTACGTGAACTCCATTTACTGTTATTGCTGTTGAATTGCCATCAGATGAGGGAAGAACAAATTCTGATTATTGATACAAAATGTTAAAGGTGCTGGCTAATGTGGCTGACATTATCATTGAAGAATCAGAAGAGGGAGCAGTTGAACATCGGACCTGGCGCAATGTATTCACGCTAGTGGATTTCTTATGCTGTGGGGCCATCCTCTTTCCTATTGTTTGGTAAGTTGGAATGGGCATACCATTATGATTTGTTATTTAATGGACACAGGCTAACATGGCTTCAGGTATTGAAATTTATCAGAAAGGATTTTCATTTTTGAAACAGCTGCCTATTTGTCAAAGTTTTCTCTGCAGGTTATATTGGATGCATACAAATATAACTTCTTAGCCTATTACAGTGCAAAATGAAAAATTGTGTGACTTAACCTTTATCAGCCGGGCCATTTAAATTCTGGTAATGGCTGCGGGCCAGAGTTAATTTAAATGCCCGCCATTGTAGAGTAATAAAAATTGTAATCATGTTACTCAAAATGCTGTGATTTCTACAATTTTTGTGATAAACGAACGAAATAAATGCCTCTTTTATCTAGAAAGAATATAGAATCAGATATTGTAATTTACAGATTTTAGAATCTGTAAAAATTGTTACATTGATTCCAAAAAAAATTTTCCCCAATTTTGAGCGTCTGTCCACAAAAATGCATAAAGCTTCTGCACAAAACGTTTCTGCAGTATAAATGCATGCTGCTGACACACTGCCTGTATTGTAGTGTGTTTCGTGTGTCACGCTACGAATAAGTTCACATAGGCCTCAAATTCCGTAGAACATTTATTGTCCTTCACGCTTACACAATCATTTACACCCGCAGTGTTGCGATCACTGCTTACTATAACTCGGCGACACTGGACTGGCTTCGCTGGTGGTGTATAGCAGACTCCTTTCTGCAGCGGATATTCCAGGGCTTTCTTCTTTGGAGGCTATTCCGAGACTTTCTTCTTTGGAGGCTCGATCACAACTGGCCTCTTAGCTGGCCCGATGAAGACTGACTGTTTCTCCCTGAAGCTGGGCTATTTATAACCTCGCCCGCTGTTAGGCAATGAACCCTTTGTTATAACAGTGGAAACGTCGCTTTGTTGGCTCCGCGTTTCCTACGCAATAACCCATTGTTATCGCGTTGTCTCTGTGGGAACCTTCGCGTATTCTCGTAACCGTGGGGATTCGATGTTCTCGGTACAATGGCTCACTGCTGGGGTTACAGTGCCGCTATTGTTACTTCCTATGTAACGGTCCATTCTAGCGTTTCCCTAGAAGTTACTCCTCTGGTTTGCC